CTCTTGCAAGCCAGTGGTTTTGTAGAAAATCTCTTGCAATTGCTAAGAACGTTCTCATCTCTGCATCTTTCCCAGATGGTGCAGAGGCAGAGAGCTGCAGCAAGGATATCTTTAATAAATTGCAGGTTATGTATGCACACAAATAATATAGTGCCAGATTATGAATCTTGCATATGTTCATATGCAAAAAGCCCAGAGTTTGCTTTGGAACGGAAACAAGGCTCGGTGGTCAAACACCCTGCTAAGTCTTCTTTCCTCCCAGGATTCAAGCGTGCATTAGAAACTGCAAAAACTAGGGAACATATTTCCTTTTCTCAACTGCTCACAATATTGCCCTTGGCACCCCAGCAGCCCAAGACACATTAATAGAGATTCTAAAAATAGTCTCAGAAATATTAGCATTTTTTTCACATTTCCTATGCAGATATTCCCCACGTCGCACAATGTACCTGAGACCAACATATGACCACCACACACTGCCCCACCTGGTCCCAGCATCCTCTTGACCAGAAAACACTCCTACTACTAAATTGCACTCAGCTGTGATTAGATGACTTTGATCAATGACACACAGGGTATGGTTTTCTTCTTCAAGCAACATTTGCAGTCAGCTTGTGGTTTCCCTGTGTTTGTTCAAGTTTATGGAGACTATGAGTTATTTTTACCTATGTGGAATAATCACAGATAGCTGAAAATATTTGAGATGTGAGATCTTCACTGCAACCAGCCAAGTTGTTCTTTCTGTTCTGACAAGTTAGCCCTCACTTAACAAAAGTATTTCAGAACTGGAACAGCACAGAAAAGGACAGTTTTGGATCTTTTCCTGAAACATTTGGACTGACGTTATCTAGCAATTCCTATAAAACTAGGCTACTGCACCATACCTTTGCTGAGTGCCATTTGAGCTTGTTTTTCAGTTACTACTTTCCATAAGCACACTGATTTCTGAAATGTTTGGTTAGCTCTCTCCCTAATGTATTTACTTGTCTCTGACATGGGTGGCTGAGACACAGCTGGAGTTCTATCCAATTTCATTGTCTATAAAATAAACCATTAATTTGTAAGCATTAATAAGCACACCATCTATCAGGGAGTGCGTACTCATGGTGACCTGGGGGGGCTCTCCACCAGTGGTGCCTCTGAAGTCAGACATTTGTCCCACTTTTGCAAGAGCAACATCTTTATGGCTCTTCAGATTGCAACACTGCACTGAGACCATCTTGAGTCACCTTGAAGTTACTATGCCAAACCAGTAAGAAGTGCAAAAACTGAATTTAGAAAATGAATACAAAGAGAAGCAACAGACAGGAGGACACAAGACTTGTGACTTAGTAAAAAGATTCATTTCCTAACTAAAACTGACAATTCAGAATTGAACTGCATGTATTTTGTTAACTTGAGCACAGCTGATTAATGTGCGTGCAATTTAACTTTTACATACCATCAATTATAAAACTATAGTTGAATGTTTGACAGAACAAATGCTACAGACAAGCAATTTGTTTTGTAAATCAATACAATTCTAGTTGCATTTAATAGGCAAAGGAACAGTGCCTTACATATGCTTTTTTATATGTACATCTGTGCTCAAACAACCCTCAGTTTTGCTCATGGCTATTCTACAGTCTTGTCTAATAGCTGGTAAAGCCATTATTGCCAAAGAAATCTTGAAGAAGTAATTAAACAAATAATGCCCAAACCTACCTTCATTTTGCTAACACAGTCTTACTGAAAAATATGCATGCAAATAAACCACAATCATCTCTTAATACAAACAGCAACCTATGATACCACAGACTGTCTTCAAGTTAGACAGGGCATTAGGCTTTTAAAACCATTAAACATTTCTTCTAACTCCAAATGGGCTCCACCTTGGTGCTTTGCTTCCAGACTGAAATGATTTGCAACTATTCAGAGAAATGAGGCTCTAGGACCATTGCTGCACTCCTGGAAACAGAAATGTTTGAGAAAGGTGAGGAGGTCAGACAAGGGCAAAGTCCAAAGTAATTTTAAGTGGTTCAGCTAAGTAGGGAAAGCTAATGGGAAACCATTTTAATTTATTACAGTCATCCCTTGTGAATAAAAGGACAACGTTTTTCTTCAGGAGCTTGATTACATAGCAGTAAATCCCTCTGTGTATATAAAAGACCTATGGACAGTATAGATCAAATGTCAGAAATAGGTTTGCACTTTATGTTAGATGTGGGAGAAAATACTAGAGTTGGGAATAGTTTTAGATACTCAATCTTTTTAAAAAATATTTCCAAGATATATGAAAAAATGTATATTTTATTCTGCCATGCCCATCTACAAAGACATTAAGTAATGCTGTCTTTGCAATACACTTTTTTGGACCTTCCCTTTCCAAAAAAACCCAAGCCAGAAACATGTTTTTGAATATAAAAACATGTTCACATTCTCTTCTCTCCCCAGCACTTTCTGCTTCTTTTGCTGGTAATAAATGCTGCTTTAAATATTGGCTCTAATCTCTGCTTCATAGAATCCAGACAGAAGTAAACAAGCAAACAAAGCACAGTTCAAGGTGACAATAATGTTAGAAAAAGGCATCTTAAAGTAAGACTAATACCAGGAAAGGATTTTCTCTAATAGCATACAGGGCTTTTTTCAGCATTTCAAATTGTTTTGTTTTGTTTTGTTTTTCCCTAAATAATTGCTAATTCTGATGGATATATGTGCATAAGTGCAACTAATAATTATTTCATTGTACTGGTCTGAGACGGAACTGGAAAACATTTATGATGGTGAAAATTGCAGCCACTCAGCCCAAGATTCGTATTGAAAAAAAGATTTGTTTAATCAGAAGCAGGATTTCTAGGTTATGGAGTAGAATGTTTCAGCAGTGAGGAATTACGGAGCTGCCTCAAAGCAGGAAAAAAAAAAAATCTTTGGCTTACTTAGTAACACAATCATTACCTGTCCATGGCAATTTTGTATCTTGTGTGTACCCTGTTTTTCCACACACTTTCCTGAAGTCATGAGAAATGAATACTCCGAGACAGGCAGTGCTTCAGTTCCATACAGTATGGAGCTGGGCCCTTCTCTGCTGCTGCAGTACAGCAGCCACCAAATGCCGCCTGAAGCATGAAACAGCTTTCAAAGTAGTTTCAGTAAAGCTTGTTTTGTCCCCTCTAATTTTCAGAAACCTCGTCCTGGGTTTTGATGCCATCCTACAACACTGGAAACTACTGGGAGACCAATCCTGACAGTGCTCAGGGACTACATCATGTTACACAACATCTCAGCACATGCAACAATGGACAAGAGGCCTTTGCAGAGGTCTGGGGACAAAATTAACTTTACCAAAAGGTCAGTTACAGGGCAGTAATGCTTCTCGTGAGCATTATTCATCTACCTAAGGGCAAAATGTAGTCACTGTTGGCACCTTTACTACATATTGCATACTGCTTCATCAGACACTCATTTCCATACTTCTTGACTCCACTACCTTGAGCTAATGCTGCTGTTTGAACTCTTAGCCACATTTGGTAAAGATCAGAGTGCCTTCAACGAACCTTCCCATACAGTAGCAAACAGACACTGCTGCAAGTACAGTGTAATTGTTAAACATGTTGAATTTTTAACTTCCAATGCCTTTACCATCACTTAAGAACTTTATGGCAGTTTAGACAGGTTGATATTGACTCCTGCCAAAGCAGGCTCTAATGTTTGTGCTCTGTCTGCCCACAACACTTCCTGTCATTTCTATTGGCTAAAGATTCCTTTCTGTGGTTTTGCAAAGTGCCCTTCCCTGCTGAGGACTATACGACAATGGTTGAGTTTCATCTCATCTATGGTTTTTTTGAGCTCATGGGGAGCAAAGGGAGAGGAAGAACAACGAGGGATGGGACCCAAAGCTAAACAAAGCTTCTTTGATCCTTTTGGGATCAAGATGCTGTTAAAACACACGATTAGTAGAACTGTGAATTTATTGGGACGGAATTGGTTACTGTCACTGTACTTCAGCACGAACTTACATTATGATTGTAAGTACAAAGTGTTCATTCTGTTTGTGGCTACGAGAATTAATCTTTTCCATGTGCAGAGAGGCTGCGCGATAATTTAACTGAGATTCCTGTTGGTAGTTTGGGCAAGCACTCATCAGCTGCAGGGCTTTCAACAATACATGAGCAGCAGCTCCAAGAGAAAATGATGTAATTAATGCATCCGAGAGCTACCAAGCAGGACTGGTCTGCTCGTTTCAGGGTTTTCTTCCAAGTAAGTTGTCAAAAATCTTGAAACTAAAAGGTGAGTTTCTCCCAAAACACTTCAAATACTTAACTTTGGACAGGATCCAATAACTAATGGATTCTGAATGAAATTGTATGCTTCTAATATCTTACACTGGCCTCAATAATAAGAAAAGGTCTGATCCTCATTATTAAAAATGAAAAAGTAATTTGGAATGTTTACGCGGATGGCAGCTTTATATGCAGGATAGAAGTGCTCCAACTGCATTTTCAATCCAGCTGGAACTGAGTTTTCCTTTTTCTTTTTTTCATGAAATTTCATTTAATATGAGTACTATGTCTTAGTAAGGCAGCTGTTGGCAGCAAGCTGTGAAATTAAAGTTGAGCTGGTTATTATTAAGAGCCAAGACATAATATGCTTTTGTCAGAGAGAAGTTTTTCTTGTAGATATGTAACCTATATTCAGTAATTAAAGTAGCTAGTCAGTCAACCTCACTTGGTGGGAAAATTAATCCTAATTTAAAATATAATTTCCAAGTTGTATAAATTGCAACCAAAAATGGGATTGCTATAGCTCATTTCAGTGAGGTTTTTAAGCATCCAAAGCACCAGTGATTTCAGAAACACAGGAATTAAGGACTCCTAATTCTCACGGCTGTTCTACTAAGATGTGTGGGACTTTAAGGAAGGCACTTCTGATAAGATCCCAAACGGGAATGAAATCAGGATCCTTCTATTTACTATTATCCACTGAAAATTTTTCTCTCAGCCTGTGCCTGGAGGGAATCATACCTGTCTTCTTCCCGCTGCAGCAAATGCTTTTATAATTTCAAGATGTAAACATGACCTTCCTCCAGCTTCTCTTCAAAGAAAGCAGTGGTAACTTTCACATCTTGCTCAGAATCTCCTCTGGGATATGCCAAGATGCACATTTCAAAAACATCTGCCCAAAGGTGTTCTCAGGAAGAAGGAACAGAACAGGACTTCGTACATTAGAAATCCAAGCCGGGTAAGTAATGTAAGTTTATATATTAACATATTATTACATCATTATCTATATTTATTTATATACTAAAGCATCAAGCTGATTAATCCTTATCAGTCAAGCTGACTACACTTTGTAAATTCATTTATTTCCCAAACTGTTTGCCTTGAAGTTCAGTTATCAAGGGTAGCAGCGAAACTGCACTATCATTCATCTCAGCATTTGACCAGCTTCAAGTAACTGTAAAAACCAAAGATCTTGCGTCTGACCAAAGATACAACACTAGTTTCTCCTTTCTTCAGACACAGGCTCCTGCAGACTTCTGCAGCCGCATGAATCCATTGTCAGCCAGAAGAGCAGCTGGCTTTTTTCCTGGTTTTCTTTGCAGCTAGATCAGTGAGCTGCTCTGCCTCACAGCATGATCGGTACACCAGCACAGGGAAGGAGAAACAAACACAGCAAGGCTGAGGTCACCCCTTTTGATGTCATGGCAGCTCTCAACTTAATCCAGTCTTGATACCATACCTGCAGTCTACTAACACAACTGCTAATAGAGACAGCCTCACTGCTCACAAGGTGACCATTCTAATGCATTCTAATGGTCTAATGACCACTCAAGTAGGACACTGTAACTAAATCACTTCTCCACTTAAGTGATAGCTACTTTTACTTCCCTGGAAACATGCAGACTTTGAGTCAGCAATTCTTGAATCTATGTTGGGTATTTGTACCTCAGTCCTTTCTGCAGGGGGCCATAACTACTTTGCAGGTGTACTTCAGGTCATGCATTCATCTTAGCAGTTGACTAATGCACTTAGAGAGAGCCAAAAAGCTCTACTAGATATCAAGAAAATGAAACAGGAATTAGTGGGGATTGCTCAAGGGTGTTTAGTATCAGTGAACATAGTGGCTGGCTACAGAGTACATGTAAGCATCTCATCTTAGATGCTGCCAACAGCTAGACTTCCATCAGTTCAGCTGCTACATAGAAGGGTGGAGAAAAAGATTTCCTCATCAGGCAAGTGGCCATTGTCATCTTTATTTTAAAGAAGAAATCTTGGCAGGTTTTTTTCACCACACAGTTCTTTAACTGTAGAGCTTTTAATGGATAAGAATAGGGTTTTCCTCTTGTGAGATTACATGCATTGTTAAAGACAACTGGATCACATCTCTTCTGTATAAAAAAAAAAAACAAACTTACTTGTCAATATCTGTAGAGCTAAAATCCTCAGATCAAAAATATACTTAGGATGTCCGTGAAAGCTGAGAGCCATCATTCTACAAGTATTACCTTGAAATACAAACTCATAGCAATATAAAAACACAAGGCTGGCATGAAATTGGAATGAGAATAAAAGAATACATGAATCACACGCACAACTAATTAAACATGAAAACTGACTTTATAGCCACTTACCTTCACCATTGTACATTAACACTGAACAGAACAAATTTGAGCAGCATATTTTGGACATTTACAATCTGGAAGAAATATTTCTTTTAAACTCGTGTCAGGATAATACAGTTTCTTTTCCAAGGTCTCATGATTTCAGGCCTTCCTAACAGAAGTGAAAAGTGGTTAGGATTGAACACAAGGCTTGGTTGACAGCACTTAAATGAGCCTGGAAATCTTCAAATTTACAGTGTCAGGGATAGCTGAGTAACTTTTAGGCTAAGATCTCAGTGCAAAGCTTACCTGTATTCAGTAAACTTGCAAGTTAAAGCAGTCAAATTTTGGCTTCCCTTTTTCATACGCAAAAATCCAACCTCTTCATCAATCATTGTCAGGGACCATCTGAAAAATGCCTCCACAAGTCACATCTCTGTTATTTTTTCTTTAATAATATTTGATTTGTGGATTATAATACAAGCTGTACCTACTGAGGTCAGAGGTCATTAGAGTGTATAAACCATTTGAGGCACTACAAAAAAACAAAAACAAAAGACCAACCAGAAACAACTTAAGGCCTGATTTTCAGTAACTCTGAAAAAAAGCCCAATATGCATTACCCTTTAGGAGTAGATGCCAAGAAAAATCTCAGAAGTTCATGTTCCAGTGACCACAAGATTGCAAGTTCCATACTGTTTCTTCTGGTAATGGTATTTGCACCAAACACAGAAAGCATCCATTTGAGGAAGGACAGAGAGCATCGTGTTGGCACAACAAAACCCTTTCATTAAGGAGACATCTGTGGCCCTTAATAGCATGTCTGCCATGGGAGGCAGCACCTCGCTAGATTGGATTTCAAACCAAGTTCTGCTTGAGGTGTTGAGCAAAAGAGAATTGGCTGCAAGAAGGATAACACAAGACTAGCAGGTTTTGTTTACCGTAGAATTAAAGGCCCATTGCACAATTAACAAAAGACAACCAGTCTGTCTGTGGAATGGCAGACAATATTTTGGGCAAGAGTTTGGCTTGCCAGAATAAGTGTAAGAATGCTCACTTAAAGCTCTCTCCTGAACCCACTGCCATTCAAACAACTTTTCTAACTTACTTCCCTGGATGAAAGCGTGAATGTAAGGCTCTTGAGAAAAAGAGAGAAGACTCCAAAAATGTTAGTTTGCCAACACAGCAGCTGGGTCTCTTAACGCCTGCTGACACGGTAACACCACTTGGTCATCTTCACATGCTACAGGTTAAGCTTTCAGCAAGATCTCTCTCAACGTAACCCCTCTTCCTTTGCAAAGAGCAGGATCCTTGCCCTTCTCATTCACCTGGAAAAAGCACCCCTCGTAGAAACGGCACTTAAAGGATCCAGTCCCTACAGATCAGGAAAGCACAGGTCCAATTTTCTGTGCAGGACCACCGTGCCCACAGGATGTTTGGCATTAGCTCAGAGACTTCTGAGAAGGTGGGACCTAATTTTAGGTTCCGTATCTCTTACCTCAGGTGGGACACAGGAGAAGCAGAGCAGCCTCCTTTGTCAGCCTTCTCTTTCCCTCCCTGTCGCCACCTCAAACCAGCAGCAACCCCCTCAGGACGGGAGAAAAAGGGCGGGAAACAGCGCTGTGGTGAGCGCGGGAGGAGGAACGGCGCGGCGCTCCTGACAGGAGGCACCGCCCATGGACAGGGCCAGCGCCCACCCTAAGTACAGAAACGTTTCTTGGTCACCCGTGCCTTACTTCCTCGTGATCTGAGTGACGAATATATTAAAACTGGAAGAAACATAGCAAAATCAATCATTTCTTTCCAATAATCTGCTTCTGACAAAATACAAGTCTCCAAATAGTTGCAGAACAGCTACTATTAAAGCTCGATCTCCAGCAAGAAACAGAGAACTGTGTGAACACGGCGTGGGAGCTGCAGGACAGCAGGGCTTCCACTGCTGCTTGAACGCTGTTACCACAAAGTGGTCGTGAATATTGCTTCTTACACGTATGCCTCCTGGTGCAGCATTCACCACTGCTTCCTACGCCTAACTTGCTGCAGTCCTGACACTGAATTGCTGCTTCTGTCATAGACAATTGCCAAGCACAGAGCCAGCCCACAGCTCCCTGAGCGAGCTGTTCGTTTGGATTAAATGCAGGGGAAGAATAAAACAGAAAGCCTTAGAGAAGCAGAGCTGCTGCTGCATATGACAGCATCCAGTCCTGCAGTGGAAACCATACCGTTATTGCAACACTTGCCCTGGTAAAACACACACAGCAGAGCTCGCTGGCACAGCTGCACACTTCACTGCCTATGTCCTGTTTCTAAAGCTGGTTGTAAGTACATGTCTTCTATCCAACTTTCTCATTCTTGTTTTTCTGTGTCTGTTTTAACACAATGTGAGCACAGAGGAGCACTCTCTCCTAGTACTGCGGCTGCTCACAGTCCCCCTTCCTTACTTACACTGTCATGAAACCACAGTTCTGGAAGGATGGGAACTAAACCAAGGATTTGTTTTTGCAGCAGAGGGATGACACCAGACATGCAAATTTCTGGACACCAGAATTGTTCTCTGCTGGCAAAAGGAACTTGTTGAGACTGATGTAACTAAGAGATGCTTAGTCATTGGGGTTGAGCTGTCAGTAGATGCAGATATTCTCTAGCAGTATTCTTTTAAACTGTGCTACATCTTGGGTGCAAGTCATCGAACACCGTGACAAAGTATAAAAGACATCAGTAAGCAGTGCCTTTAAAAAAAGAAACTGAACAACACGACAATACAGTTCCTCCTCAGACAGAATGCAGTACGTGCGCTTTGGGGAGAACTGAACGTCAGTCAGGGCATTACTTCTTGCCAGGGCTCCTCCTCTGGAGCCATATCGAGTGACTTTCCTCCTTGAACATGTCCTAATGAATACCTCTGTAGCCTTCAGGTAAAATCCTTCCCCAATCGTTTTGCCCTGATTGATAGCTTTAGAGCCTTCCTTCACACAGCTTCAGCTGCTTTCCAGACCTTTATTTTTCTCCTTTTTCTAAGTGTCTGCTACAGGAAGTTGCACTCGGCTCTTTTACCGTATGTTTCTCTCAAAACTGACATCTTTGCGTTGTAATGAAGGAACCCCTGAGTATTAGTGACAAATTAGTCACCAGCTAAAGACTACTTTCTTTTTATTTCTATACCAGGTGGAAGATATTAAAATCTCAAGACGAATTTCTCCTACTGTGCTACAATAAATCATCCCCCAGTTTTTTAAGTGACTTAATTTTGCTAGCCTTAAAACTCAAAAATAAAAATCCCCAAACTCTGTTAATAAAGAAGTAAAATAGTGTTGCAGACTTCATCAAAGAGACACCATGTTGAAGTACCATCAGGAACATATTTTATTTCCTATATTTATATTAATGAATATTATCTTTTAAAGATGAATCTCCTTCCCAAGAACAAAATATCCTATTTGACATTAAAAAGTTAGCAAAAATCTTTTTCCTTTGTTGTTTAATTATCTAACTTAATACAGAACAATACTTTCAGTGTCTACAGAAGGTACTGTACAGTCTCTAAGGAAATGTGAAATGGTGATATTCTTTGTTGAGGAACTTGTGAAGAAGCAGCAAAAAAA